GGGATGGGGAATACATGTAAATCCATGGCTAATTCATTTCAATGTATAACAAAAACTACTGTAATGATGTAAAGTAATTAGCCTCCAACTAATAAAAATAAATGGAAAAAAAATAAAAATAAAAGTCACACATAAAAAATAAATAAATTAATTAAATAAACTGAGTAACTTTAGGCAATTTTTTTAGAAAGACTTCTCATATATTGCTGACAGGAATGCTAAGTGCTTTGCTACTTTGAAAAACAATTTGTCAACTTCTTACAAAGTTAAACTTATACTTACCATATGACCCAGAAATTCTACTTCTAATTATCTCTCCAAGGGAAGTGAAAACAAACCAAATGTCCATCAGCTGGTGAGCAGATAAACAAAATGTGCTACATGCAAACAATGGAATACTACTCAATAATAAAAAGAAAAAATAAATGCAACAACATGAATGAACTCAAAAACATCATGCCAAGTGAAACATGATACACAAAATTCTAATAATGTATGATTCCATTTATATAAAATTTTAGAAATGGCTACCAATTCTTTGCTATCCATGTCACTGAGACCTAAAGTTTCATGTCCTTCTGTTCAATATGGGCTACCCTGAGTCATTTGACTGACTAATAGAATGTAGCAGAAATGATGTCCTGGGATTTTCTGAGGGTCAGTCATAAGTCTTGCAGCATCCTACCAGGTCTCACGAGCCCTGAGCTCCTATGTCAAAAAATCAACTACCCTGGGGCAGCAATGCTGGAGATACGCACACTCTCTGAATGACAGTCTCATCTGAACTCTGCCTTCTAGAAACCCCACAAACTAATGAGATATGATAGAAAAAATACTTTAAGCCATTAAGCTTGTCATGCAGCAACAGACAACCTATATGTTAGTGTGTGTGTGCTCCGTTACTTGTGTCCAACTCTCTGTGACCCCATGGACTGTAGCCCACCAGGCTCCTTTGTCCACGGGATTCTCCAGGCAAGAAGACTGGAGTTGGTTGCCAGGCCTTCCTCCAGGGGATCTTCCCAACCCAGGGATCAAACCCACGTCTCCTGCACTGAAGGTGAATTCTTCACCCACTGAGCCACCTGGGAAGCTCTATGGTTATTTTTGTGTTAAATGCTTAGATGTATAAAGATTATCCACTGTAAGAATACCCACTGAGAATAGTACAACATATGATTGGACATCCCCCAAAATAAAATTCTAACAAAACTGAATATCATAAGTTACATTACTGGCAGTGACCACATAGTTAATATGTTATATATGTTCATCTACCAAGAGAAAATTAGGAACTTTATTGAAAAAAGGAAAGCAACAGAAAATTACGGCTAAGATATGTGATAAGTTAAATTAAAATCTTACTAAAATTACACATTATTTTTATCTGAGTTTAGTGTATAGTCAATGCTTAAAAAAAAAATATTGACTTAAATTAACAACACAACCCACAGAACAAAAAAAAAAAACTCTACTTTCTGGTGCATTCATCTTGTTAACAATATTAAGTTACATAAAGTTAAAGTAGACACATATGAATTAATTTCCAACCTGGCATTTTCTCTGTCTTAGAGTCTTGTGTGAATCGAGCAGCACTTTGACCAAATGAGATATTTTTCAATCCCAATGTTTTCTTCAAGGGCTTGAAAGCAGTTCGAGATTCATTGTATGTGCCAGGAGCTGGAGTGATTGATTTCATAGGGACAAACCTCTAGTGAAGAACAGGAAAATATGCCAGTGAGAAAGTAATGGTACATTTTGATATTTCATGACTTAAAAGCTGCCTTTTTAGTAATATAACATCTGGAGCTTAACTTATTTCTTAATGGAATGAAGAAAATGTAGATGAATTAAGATCTTGCACCTATCAAGACATAAAATATATACTTTTAGTAAAATCATATGTATATTAATACAGTAATGCATTATATACTTTGCTAAGCCAGAAAGACTTTTCAAAGGAAATCATCTCATTATGAGTTTCAGATGATAGTGTATGGACAGTCTCCACATTTAAGACAGTCTGAAAGTTAAGATAATAAATAAAATCTATATGATCAAATACAGTTTCTTCTATGTAATAAAACTGTACAAAGTGACAAAGTTCCTGAATATGTATATTCAATTAACACAACAATATTAGCTACCTTAAAAAAATCTTATAGATTCAAGTGGTGCATAAATCACTTTAACTTATAATATTCAATTTTTTATATTATAAACTTATAGTAAGCTTACTTAGTATATTCATTTACAGGGAAGCCTGGTGTGCTGCAGTCCATGGGGTCGCAAAGAGTTGGGCACAACTGAGCAACTGAACTGACTGATTAAATGTATCTATGTGTAAACTATGAAATCTTATGAAATATAGCATTGTATAATTTACTTTTTAACTTTTTTATTTAGAATTAATTTAAAATTTGGAATATTCAAAGTTATAAATAAAAATAATACAGAAAATTCCTGTGCCATGTTTATCCAGATTCACCTACTGTTAATATGCCATTCACTTTTTTCATTTGTCCACTTTATTTCTGCTTCTCTGTATGTCTATTACTCCCTCTCTCTGTCTCTCCACACACACACACACACACACACACACACACACACAGAAGTATTTAATGGAAAGTTACGTATGTTGTGTTATGGCCCTTTCTCCCTAAATCCTTTGTGTGCATTTATTAAAAATAGGGATATTTTCTTAAATGTATTTTCTTAAATGTAGCAATGATATAAGACTTTTATTTAATCTACCATTCATATTCCAAATCTGTCAGTTGATCTAATTATACCTTTAATACAATTTTCCCGTCCAATACATCATCTAGTCTAGGCTCAGATATTGCTTTTAGCTTCCTTTCATGTAGAAACATTTCCAAAGCCTTCCTAAATACTATCTTATTATTTAAATGCTGAGTACAATATTTTTAAATGGTAACATTCAACCCTGGCTGCATTTCTTGATGAGTTTAAAAAAAAAAAATTGATGACTGCCTGGGCCCTATTCTGGACCAGCTCCATCAATCTCTGGGAGACAGGAAAGAAAGCAATTGGATTTGTATTAAAATTTCCCAAAATATTCTAATTTGCAGCAGAAGTTGAGAAGCATTATTATGAAGAAAATCTTATGTTTTAAAAATTACTAGTTGAAGACATAAGAAAATTCAATGCATTTAGATAAAATACCAGACAACTCCTTAAGTCGATGACTTTTTAAAATAGGTATCCCAGAAACATGATATGTCTTTATTCCTAAAAAACAAAAATTGTCTTCTAAGTCCACCTAGCTAATCACATTATTGCTTTTTCAATCATAGTCATTAATAAATCTGTCCATATTCAACTAAACACTAACACTACCCAAGCAGGCAGTCCTGTTGGTTTTAACTCTTCCACATCTTTCACTTCAGAATCCCTTAAGCAAAATTGACCATATTCCTTTTCATTTCTGAAAAATATATTTAAAATATTATAATTGATGTCAAGTGATGTCACATTAGGACTATATATTAGATGAACAGAACAACATAAAAACTGAAAGTTCTAGTTGCAAAAATGTGATTTTTAAAAATCAAGGGCACACACAGTATCTCACTCCCCTACATCCATTCTGTGTTGTACCTTAAGTACCATCAAGCTGCTCAAGGCAGAAAACTAGTATTCATTCCTGATTCTTCCTAGTCCCTTAACACAACATTAACTCATTAAAAAGTCATGTTAATTATGTCTCCAAAATATACCTGCAATCTACCTGTCTCCAAGGAGGTGCCTCTTAAGTACAATGAAACCAAAGTAGTTACATGTAGTCATCTAAAGGTTAATAACCTTCCCTAGTTAAGTAAGATAATCAGAGTTTTACACAGTACAACTGGAGAAATATCACAACTACTTGATCCAGACAGTGCCACATTATAAAGGTTTGTTAGTATTATAATGTTCTTGCCTAAGAAATAGCTTAGACACCTACAATTCAAGTCCCCTAAATATAGACCGTGGAGAATATAAAATGATTACTGTGAAATAGACTCTTGCATCACTAACGCCCCAGTGGGAGGTTTAGATATGACCTATGACCAGGCTCCATAAAGCCTTCAGAACCTTCTCCAAAAGACTGACATATTCTCATAGATTACATGTTAACACTTCAAATATTCATTGTTGTTATTGTTCACTCACTCAGTGATGTCTGACTCTTGGAATCAAACAGACTGCAGCACGCCAGGCTTCCCTGTCCTTCACTATCTTTGGAGTTTGCTAAAACTCATGACCATTAAGTCAGTGATGCCATCCAACCATCTCACCTTCTCTTGCCCCCTTCTCCTCCTGCTTTCAATCTTTCCCAGCATCAGGGTCTTTTCAAATGAGTCAGCTCTTCCCATCAGGTGGCCAAACTGTTAGAGCTTCAGCTTGAGCATCAGTCCTTCTAATGAATATTCAGGACTGATCTCCTTTAGGATGGACTGGTTGGATCTCCTTATAGTCCAAGGGATTCTCAAGAGTCTTCTCCAACACCATAGTTCAAAAGCATCAATTCTTCGGTACTCAGCTTTCTTCATAGTACAACTCTCATATCCATATATGACCACTGGAAAAACCACAGCCTTGACTAGATGGGACTTTGCTGGCAAAGTAATGTCTCTGCTTTTTAATATGCTATGTTGGTCATACCTTTTCTTTCAAGGAGTGTCTTCTGATTTCATGGCTGCAGTCACTATCTGCAGTGATTTTGGAGCCCCAAAAAATAGTCTGTCACTGTTTCCACCATTTCCCCATTTATTTGCCATGAAGTGATGGGACCAGATGCCATGATCTTAGTTTTCTGAATGCTGGATTCCAAGCCAACATTTTCACTCTCCTCTTTCACTTTCATCAAGAGGCTCTTTAGTTCCTCTTCACTTTCTGCCGTAAGGGTGGTGTCATCTGCATATCTGAGGTTATTGACATTTCTCCCGGCAATCTTGCTTCCAGCTTGTGCTTCATTCAGCCCAGCGTTTTTCATGATGTTTCATGACTGGTTTGATCACCTTCCAGTCATATACTCATTAGCAAAATATATTTTAAAACCCAGAGTAAAATTTCTTATAAGATAAACTGAACTTTCACATATGCAAATTTCCTTAGTAAAAATGTTTAATAAAAATTACAATTTGAATACTAATCTCTGCAGTATTCTTAATATTGTAATCTTATGTCATTTAAGTCTACCCACATTTTTGGCAATATGATTTGCCTAGGCTATATCCGTTCCCAATTTGTTTATATACCACTTTTCTTTTTATAATCTCCCTAACACCACTGAATTTGTTGCTAGTGTCACCTTTTACCTATTATCCTCTTATCTGTGAAACAACTGTAGAACATTACCTTGGATTGAGAAAGAAAAGCAGGTGATGCATCATTTACATTTGATTTCGTACTTTTATTCTTCTGAAATTGACTCTTAATGTCATATTTTCCTGGCCCTGGTACTCCCTAAATTACAGAAAGAAAAAAAGACATGCTCTCATTAAGAAAGCATCTATAGCACCTAAGGGAACAGTTGGTTAAATATCTGAACCAAAGCTGGAGGGCTTTTAAGTGATGTTACCAAAGCTCTTCATTAAAAAGCAAGCCAGAACAAACTTCTTAAGAGCAACAAAAAAAAAAGAGAGAGAGAGAGAGAAAGGCTTTGCTTTCCTTTACAAAGCCTCCCAGGAACATAAAAACACACTGCTTGAAACTTTGCTGCCCTCTACTGATAGATCTCAGAAAAAAAAAAATTATCTGAGCTCTTCACGTGATTAAACATTACATTAAATAACTATATTCTTCCATTTAACTTTATACAACCAGCTCTTCTATTTTAACTACAAATGTTAGAAGATATAAGACATTAATCTTTTAACTAGATACTTTACAAGAGATAAAATTAACTCAGTAAATAGATTGAGTTTTAATTATCCTGCTAATAAAATATAAATATGTATCAGGAAGTACTATTTATTCATCATCAAATATTTTAATTACCTTGATAAAGTACCTTTCATAGTATATAAAAAGTTAGATTTAAATCATCTGCTTCATATATAACTCTCCTACTTTTCTATAGTTGAAAGAATTTTACATTGATGTACGAATTAAATACTGGACTTATAACTTGGATGCAAAATGAAATTCTATCAATAAATTCTGTCACCTTTATTATTATAATACATCAAAATCCAACCATGTCTCCCAACCTCTACAAGTACTCTGATCCAAGCCACCATCTCTTATCCAGGTTACTGTAAAAATCTTCCTAACCACCTCCCCAGGTTCCAATATTGCCCATCTTCAGTCTGTTTCTACTACAGAACCTAGCAATGGGTCCAGTTAAGGCCCTTAGTCAGATTACACCACCCCCCTTCTCAAACCCATTCAGTGGTTTTCAATCTCACTTCCAGCAAAAAAAAAAAAAACAAGATCCTAAATATGAAATGAATCTCACTTCCAGACACACTTTTACCACTCTAACCTCCTCTCCTACTATTCTCTCCACTCTCTTCACTGTTGCCCAAAAAATCAATCATATATTCACCTAAGGACCTTTGCACTTAACCATTCTCTTTGCTAGGAATGTTCTCCTAGATAGCTCCAAGGCTGACTCTTTCAATTCAATCAGTTCACTACTCAACATTACCTTCTCATTGAGCCATTCCCAGGCAACCCAAACTAAAATTTCATTGCTTCCCCCAAACAATCCCTGTTCCCTCTCCTGCTTATTTTTCAATCTTATCATTTTTTACTACCCAAAATATCATTTCCTGCTATGTTGTAAGCTCCAGGAGAGCAGTTTTGCTTTGTTTTTTTTCTGTTTCATTGGTTGCTGTTATCTTTAGAGAACAGAATAGTAGCTCAGTAAATATTTGCATGAACTCATGCACTGAATCTTACATTTTCAGTGGCCATATATTGATTTTAGAAGATATGTCCCTCTGGGAACTAATATGTCTCCAAAGAATAGCATTATCCATTTGTAATAATAAGTAAAATATCTATAATTTATGTAAAAAAAAATTTGAAAAATTCTTTAGGAGAAATTCTTATACATAAATACCTCTTCTTAAAAACAAATTAAATTCTAAAAATGTATGCAAAAGTCCATATTGTATTGTCTCAAATTAACAGATTTATGCAACTATTTGATGGCTGACAGAAAGATTCACTTTGGTCATGGCATCTAAGATTGTTTTTTCCTATGAACTTGCAGAAAGTTACATTCAGAAGAAAAAAATTTCTGTATAATTCTGAGTGTATATAAATGAAATATGTATCAAATACAGAAAAAATACATGATGTAATCTGTTTTATTGAATTTTACAGATATGCTGTATCGGTTTTCTCTCTGTATAGGCAGGCATGATAAAAAATACTTAGATACTGACAAACAGGGACTATTATTACTTTCCTCCTGTTCTGAACAGTTGTCTAGGTGGTCATTAATATGGAGCATGGGGAAAAGACTAAGTGTGAATAATGAGGTAAGTGAATATACTTAGTCTTGAGAACTATTTCGCTAAAAGACTAAATGAACACTTGACCTCTTCAATAAATACTTCCTTTTCCTTTTCTTCTGTTTTCCATAATGTTGCTAATAACTGAACTTTGCTTCACTAAAATAACACAGAATAGTAAAATCAGGTCTTTACTTATAAAAAGTTAGACTTTAATAAGCCAATTAGAAATAAGTTCCAAAACAGGACTGTGAGACACGGACCACTGCAGGGCAGGTATCCCTTTGTGACAGTGTGAGAGGGTAAAGTGAACTCTGCAAAGCCCAAACCCTAGACCCAGGATGAACATGCTGTGATATTTACCCTGCTCTTACAAACTGTGATCAACAAAACACCTGCACTGATATCCATCTATTAACACACGGCCTCCCAATGTCTCCTCTGAGATCTTGAGTCAGAATCTTTTTGGGCACAGGAATCTACACTTTTAACAAGCCTCACAGAGGATTCTCAAGCACAATAAAGAACCACAGCTCAGCCAAAAAGGGGTCCCTACCACAGCTTTTTCTGCAAAGCACATCTATCTTAAAGCAGAAGGCTTAGATCTTGAAAGTATCCTGCTTTAAGAAGAAAACTTAAAGATTACTGTGGCAGATTGTTTATGTAATCTTTTCATGTACAACCTAACAAAAATGACCCTCTTTAGAGCATGTGCTACCTAATGGAAGGACACACAGCCACTTATAAAGCGGGCACTTATTCCCAGGCAAAGGAATATGCTTGAGGTGGATGCACTTAGCACCTCTTGTAGGAAATTACAGGACAAATAAATTGCTCAACAAATAACTTCAAGGAAAGGAGAGAGAAGAAAAGAGGGCAAGAGCAAGAGAGATGTGTCAATTAATACCAGTGGCAATGCGTGGACATTCTGTGGATCCTATTTCTAATATTTATGAGACACTGGAAATTTGAACACAAATTAAAAATCTATCATATTAAGTAAACACTGCTAATTTTTTAAGATAATTATTTGGTTTTTTAAAGACTATCTTTCGGAGGTCACTACTGAAATCTTTACAAATGAAGTAAAATGCCTAGGATTTGATCCAAAAAAAAAAAAGCCCTCTTTAAAAACTAGGGTATAAGCATTCATTTGATCAGATGGTGTGTAGAAGTTATGGGGACTGGGGAAAATCATACAGTTCAACTTTACTCATCTAACTTGGAGTCACCATCAGTGATGATAATTATTTCTACAGAAAGTACTAAAAGCTTACTATGTACAAAGCAGTGTACATACTAATAAATAAAGCATGGGCTTTGCTTTTGAGAAGCTTACACTAGATCTCAACCCATGCTTTACAAGAGAATTATCAGGGGAACTTTTAAAAATAATAATGCCTCATTCTACTTTATTCAAACTAAAGTGAATAGAAATGAGACCCAGGCATTATTAAAATTTTTAAAAGCTTTCTGTTTGATGTTAATGTGCAGTCACAACTGAAGCCTAAAATAGTTAAAAACACACTGCTAGGACCCTGCAGGTACCCTCACTTTCCAGTGTTTCCATAACTGCCATTTTTCCCTAGAGTTCCAGAGTCCTCTTCTGTAAATAAGGGCTATTGTGAGACCAGGCTTCCAGATATTTCTTCCAGCTCAGTTCTATAACTTTAAATTCTACAATTAAACTCTATAATTATATTTTCTTGAAGAAAACTGGAGATACCAAGGGAACGTTTCATGCACAGAATGGGCTCAAAAAAAGACAGAAATGGTATGGACCTAACAGAAGCAGAAGATATTAAGAAGAGGTGGCAAGAACACACAGAAGAACTATACAAAAAAGACCTTCACAACCCAGACAATCACGATGGTGTGATCACTCACCTAGAGCCAGACATCCTGGAATGTGAAGCCAAGTGGGCCTTACAAAGCATCACTACAAACAAAGCTAGTGGAGGTGATGGAATTCCAGTTGAGCTATTATGTCAAATTCTGAAAGACGATGCTGTGAAAGTGCTGCACTCACTATGCCAGCAAATTTGGAAAACTCAGCAGTGGACACAGAACTAGAAAAGGTCAGTTTTCATTCCAATCCCTAAGAAAGCCAATGCCAAAGAAATGATCAAACTAGCTCACAATTACACTCATCTCACACGCTAGAAAGTAAGGCTCAAAATTCTCCAAGCCAGGCATCAACAGCACATGAACCATGAACTTCCAGATGTTTAAGCTGGATTTAGAAAAGGCAGAGGAACCAGAGATCAAATTGCCAACATCTGCTGAATCATCAAAAAAGCAAGAGAATTCCAGAAAAACATCTATTTCTGCTTTATTGACTATGTCAAAGCCTTTGACTGTGTGGATCACAACAAACTGTGGAAAATTCTTAGAGATGGGAATACCAGGCCACCTGACCTGCCTCTTCAGAAACCTGTATGCAGGTCAAGAAGCAACAGTTAGAACTGGACATGGAACAACAGACTGGTTCCAAATAGGAAAAGGAGTACGTCAAGGCTGTATATTGTCACCCTTCTTATTTAGCTTATATGCAGAGTACATCATGAGAAATGCTGGGCTGGAGGAAGCACAAGCTGGAATCAAAATTGCTGGGAGAAATATTAATAACCTCAGATATGCAGTTGACTCCACCCTTATGGCAGAAAGTGAAGAAGAAATAAAGAGCCTCTCAATGAAAATGAAAGAAGAGAGTCAAAAAGTTGGCTTAAAGCTCAACATTCAGAAAATGAAGATCATGGTATCTGGTCCCATCACTTCGTGGCAAATAGATGGGGAAACAGTGGAAACAGGCAGATTTTATTTTGGGGGGCTCCAAAATCACTGCACATGGTCACTGCAGCCATGAAATTAAAAGACGCTTACTCCTTGGAAGGAAAGTTATGACCAACCTAGATAGCATATTAAAAAGCAGAGACACTTCTTTGCCAACAGAGGTCCGTCTAGTCAAGGCTATGATTTTTCCAGTAATGATGTATGGAT